CGTATTCCTAAATGGCCCGTTCTACATTTTCGAAGTGGATAATATCATCATCATTTATAATCTATTATTGAGTTTACTCCCAAAAAAAAACAGCTAAAAGGATCATTTAAACCGTAGAAGAATTGTATTTTCACCTTACCAAAGACGTACGCTGAGTGAACTGACGTACGCAACAGGACGGAAGAGGGAAAGAGACGGCAACCTTAATGTGTGACAAGCGTGACAATAATTTTGTTTGAAAAAACCTTCTGCCAAACTTCACCTTCTTTTAAATAGATCTTTTTTGTAAAAGACTGGAAAAAAAATTAATGTCAAGTGAAGATCACGTCAGATCAAAACAGACAAGTAACAGCCCTGTCACTTGTCACACCCAAGCGTTTTGCCGTCCTCTTCTTCCTGCCGTCCTGTTGCGATGTGAAAACAATAATTTTCCATTACTTATAACAGAATGTGGGTTTCTCGCCCTACCTTCTGACTTGTTTCCACACGATCTTCGTCCTTCTTTTTCTCTTGTTCACAAAGATCAGCAGCAAGACTAGAATTTTTGCACTGAAACAATAACAATAACAAATAAGTTTATCTCTCTGTTTTTTTTTGCAAGTTGTGGTGCATTCTTATTGTTTAGATTGAATGAAGGGTTAGCCATGATTCATTGTCATTTGAACCATGCAAAATGATACCATAAAATCATAAGAATGATGAATAATAATATCTTTTGATAATATCGTAATCTTTACAAATAATGGTGTGATCAGCTGAAACAAGTAGCAACCTTCCGTGCGTTGTCAAGGTGAATTTTACCGGGTGAGATAACTCAGGGTAACTACTTGCACTCAGGGTGACAGGAAATATTTTTCAAAAGAAGGAATTTTTCTAACTCCTCTATTAAAAAAAAGCAGTACGAGATGCTGATATTAAGACATGACAAAGAGGGATGTCATGCAGTGCATGCGCATGTTCTGACATGGATATCCATGGTTCCGATAACAAAGTTAGATTTGGTTTTCAAATCAGGGACACTGCTGCATTTCTCGTGGCGTATTGTTGTGGTATATTAAATGCTTATATGTACCCTAGCTGATTCTAGAGATTAAAGTAGTGAATTGCTTTAAATGAGAATGTCTTTTCAGTTTTTAGAATGAGAATAAATGTCAATATATAAGTGAAACAATCGTGTTTTGAAGCTTTTAACCTACCTTCTCCTGGCTCCGTTCACCGCCAACTGTTTTCACTACGAGGTCTTTTACATGCAAACAAACATCTCCAACTGAAGCAAACGGAACATGTGCCGGCGTATAAAAACCTCGAACACTCTGTTTTACATTACGATTGTACTTTTCTCGCCAATGGTCTTCCGGTAATTGTGATTTGTAACGACAACCCGTTCGAATTCGGACTTTTCGCTCGCCATGCGGCGCGACGAAAGGCGGTTAAAACTCAGATCGAAAATTTTGTTTCAAACATCGAACAATGTCTGCGTAAAGTTGGTTATTCGATTTTTGAAGCACGACCATGTTACAATTGCGCCAATATTTCAATTAAAAAAGGCGATGTGGTACAAACAGTAGCACAAAACAAATGCGAACTAAAACTTTCAAAACTTACAGTTACCATAGGGACGTTTCATCACAAATTGTCGTGACGCGGCACTTTCGAACACTTGGAGCACTCTGCGCGCGCAGTGCAAAAAGGAACCGAACGAGAATGAAAACCGACGTCGAAAAAAAAAATAATGGTCGAGGGAAAAATAGAAAAGGAGTGCAGAAAGAAGAGGGCGGCAAAACTTTTGTTTATGACAAACGTAACAGGGCTATTACTTGCGCGTTTTCTCGTGATCTTCACTTAACGTTGTGTTCTTAGCGGAGTTCCACGCGCGGCGCTTTGCGGTATTGGGTTAATTTTGGTGCGATTTTGCGGTAATTTTTTTTTCAAAGTACGCTGTTGCGGTTTTCAGAGTCCAAGTATGCGGTAATTTTAAATTTTATGACGCGGTAATTGGTGGAACAATTGTTGTCACGCGGTGATCTGCTTCGTTTCTTTAAAGCATGACAACTATACAAATCTATGGGTTCCTGACAAATCCTAAGAGGAGTCCTAAAAGGTCTGCCTAGGTCCCCTAGCCTGCGTGTCTCCCTAGTTGCACAGTCGGGGACCATCATGATTGTGCAAAGAGAGTCCAGACAATGCGCTCATAGACATGGTGGAGATGTTATTTTCGCGGGAAAAAGTGCCCTAAAATGTGTCTTGGCTAACGTTCTTACCGACCTTACCGTCTCTTTCGTGCCAGTCACGAAACAATGGCGAGCGATCCAGATGGTGAACAGAGTGACTAGTCAGATAATCCAGTAAATAGTGAGGTCGTTATAAATTGCGTAGCAATTTTCTACGAAGAAGGAAAAGGAGGCGAAAATTACAGAAAAAAAAAAGTTCCGTTGTTTGGTAAATCGAGGGGAGAAGAGGCTGGGGAAATTCAGGGAAACCGTTTGGTAAGTACTATTTTATTGTACTTACTCCTAACCTACCTCAACAGTACATCGATTATCGACATTTTCCTGTCCTACATTCTACTTGAAAACTGGACTGACAGTTATCGGACCTTATCGTATATGAGTTTCACTGAAAACGTTTGATAAACAAGGACGAGTGCGATGGTCGGACGTGTATGTTTATCGTATGCTTAACATCGACGCACCTTAATTTGGAAATACTATCCAAAAGGCGGATTTTAGTCTTGAGAACGGCAACTTCTTCCCATTTGCAACTGCGGTTTCGGTATTTGGGTAAATTTTGATGCGGTATTGCGGTTTTCTCTCTCTACCACGTGCGGTATTGCGGTATTCGTACCCCCCTTGCGCCCCCCTCCTTTTACGAAAAGATCTTCTGAATTGAAGTTTGGCGGAATTTTTTTCAAACATTACTGATTGTCACTCTTGTCACAGAAGGTTTGCTGTCTCCTTTCCTCTGCCGTCCTATTGCTTATTAAAGTTCACTTTTTTGAAGAACAAGTCATTGGCCTTCATGTTTTGCAGAAAGATCACGATCTGTTTTTGCCTTTTTTACATACCATGCGGGCGACAGATGACACATGAAATATGAGCGCGTTTTTTGTAGCTTAATATTTTAACGTAACAGGAGAGATTTCGAAAATGATTTGATCAAAAAGTTAAACGCTAAAAGATGTTTAAAATACATTTTAAAAACATTTAAAAAAGCGAACGACGTTTCGGCGCTACGTTACGCCATTATCAAGTTGAAAAGTGTAAAAGTATAAGGTGTAAAACGACTATATAAAATTTGAAACAATACATAAAATATTTCCGGGTCCAATGGGTATAATTCCCAAGGTAAGAAACACAATAAAAGAAAATAAAATGTACGAAAGAGTCACGTAAATAGTTTGGCGCCAATGGAGTCGGCCTGCGTGTTAAGAGAAGGCTTGATGTCCTTTATGTATAGCATCTCGTAGACTAAGCAAGCAAACTTGCTGTTACATTTCCTCAGAACTTTGAAAAGATGGTCAGTCTTTGTTCTGTTGTTGCCATGCTGTGTTTCAAGGTGTTTCCCGATGGCTGAATAACGGTGTTCACTTATGCGTTGATGTAAGTGTCGGGCAGTGTACCCGACATAATTTGCATCGCACAAATCACATTGAAATAAGTATACACTCAATGCGTTGTATACTTATTTTACCTGATTGGTTTATTCCTTGTAACACAATAACACTCCAACAATGTTTTGAAAACAGCCTTATAATAATTTATTATTTCTTGCCCGTAGAGTTCTGTAGAGTTATCAGTGTGTGATAATCACATGATAATAGAAACAAGTATGTAAAATTTAAACCATGTATTATTTAAAAATTTACTTGCTCTAGTTTCTGAGGAATACTGCTCATGCAATAGAATATTACTAAAGGCTTGCTGCTCCAGTCTTACCTAATAGCATAACATCATTCCCACCCAGCCCGTTACACACACACCCTCCCCACCCCAACCACTCAAATATGCCTGAAGAAAATTAATAAGCAATGGTAGCAGAAAGTACGTCAGGTACCATTTTTGTGTAAACACCATCCCCTCTACTAACACCAAATGCAGTGGAACCTTGAAGATACAACCAACCTCTTAGTCTGGGCCCAGGCTCCACATTGGGGGAGATTAGGAGGAAAAAAATGGTGTTGGCGAAAAAAAAAAGAAAAGAAAAAGAAAAAAAAAAAACACCGTTGGGCGAACAATGCAAGCCAAGCGGTAGTCCTCCTCACCACTAAGCTTGCTTCGATTGCTCAATGTTATTTTTCCCATTTCATCCTTTTCTTTTTTGCCTTTTTCCCCCACCAAGGAGCCTGGTCCCAGGATACCAACTTCTTTACACTGTTCAAAGTCCTCCGAAGTTATGAACAAAATTAATGACACTTTTACCAATCTATTTTAATTTGCTACGCACCTGCTAGATAAAGGTGCTTAGGGCAATCAAATAATGTAACATTAATGCCAGTGATAAAAAATGAAAAAAGCTGAAACTGACCTTGTTCATATTTGGGTATTGTGACAGACTATTTTTTCTTTTTTGACTTCAAATTAGGACCAAAAAAGGGAATGTTATCTACACTAAGTCTTCTTTTTAATAGAACTGAATTAGTTGAAGGATTGTCTGTAGATGCGAGTTTTCATCCTCAACCTCATTCAATGTCAGATTTCAATGTGATTCCAATATTTTAAACATCACTTTTTTTTTATAATTTGTGCCATTGAATTGTAAATAGCTTTAATTTATATAAATATTGTAATCACAACAATATTAGTACTTTTACAGTGTAATTGTATTTGAAATAATTATTAACATCATAAATGTAGTTAAAAGATGGTTAACCTCAAGTGAATCAACTAACCAAACAGAGGGTGCTGTGAGTCACATCACTGAACCAGCTCCAAAGAACCCTTAACAGTTAAGGCTGCAGTATCAGGTGACGGCTTGTTAGCCATCCATGACAGGTATGCATTTCAAAATATTGCTACAATTTGGACAAAGCCAACGCGGTGCTGAATAGGAACAAACGTAAAATTCAGAGTCTGTGCAAGGGGCCAGATCTTATAATTTGTGATCAGTGTCTGTACATAGCGTTCCTGGAGCATCTCTTTGATTTCATGTGGTCTTTTTCCAGCAAGTGTCTCGGACACACTGAAAAAGAAGCATATCATAACAGGAGCAAAGAGACTCTGATCCAGCAGCATCTTTTTAAAGCCGGCAGTTTTGGCAGTCCCAGGGACAATCCTTTCCAGTGTAAGATACCATGATCTTAGCACAGGGCCAATAACTAGTCCAACCACTCCCATACGAGCTGTTCTTCTGAAGTCATGATTTGTGCCTCTTTGCTCAGCAAATTGCTGGGTGATGAGATCCCCAGCAGCGACAAGGACACCTAAGGCAAAAACAAGAAGTACTGAAGAGTTATACTGTCTTTGCATCCCAGGGGAAAGCACTCTCTTATTTGGCCTTAATGGTTAACATGGTATGGGTTTGGGGGGTTGAGAGTCTTAATAAAACTGAGTACACAATTTTGCTATTAGCCTCTCAAACAGGGTGTTGCCCTAAACAAGGCGTAAAATGTGGGAGATTTCAATCAGTGTACATGTACATCTGTGTGAGAGGGCGGATTCAATAGCCTAAATATGGGTTGGAGACTCTCTTGTCTGAAATAGAGTAGTGAAACGGGCGTTTTTTTTTATACTTTACATAAACACATTAGATAATCACTCTCTTTCTTTCTTTCTTTTTTTTCTTTTAATTTGCCCCATGGTCTGAGTGCAACCTAGGGATGAGTATCAGTTCTACCCTGGGACTAGGGGTTGGGAGGGGGTGGGGGGTATAGGATCACTGATTTGGGGAGAATAGGGGGACTGTCCTCACATCACTGTAGCTCACATCCAGGAGGTGTGAATGAAATCCTTCCTCTTTAACTTCTGTAAACTTGGATCGCAGCTCCCTCCCCCCTTGGTACATCCGCATCCTAGATGAATGCGAGTTACAACAGTATTTATGAAATAATAGGGGACTAGAAGTCTGACGGAAATCAACATCAGCAGGGTGCAAAGAAAGTCAGTTATACAGCTTGTCATTTGGGCAAGCTGTATGAGCTAGTAGCATGCATTAGCTCAAAGGTCATTTCAACTAGCCCCAAATACTTTTTGATGAGGTAACTACAATGATTACACAGTTCTTAGACTGTAATTTTAATCCCTCAAAAAACGTCACTGTCCTGCACAGTGGGCAAGATAAGACTGAAATCCACTAGTGCAATAGCAAAATCCACCTGTCCACAGCTATTGGACACCACCTTCTTTTTGCAATATTATGCTGCCTATATAGTTGTACCATAGCATGTTCATGGATAGCTTACATGGACATCAGAACTTAGTCCCTTAACCCTTATACAAACATATACTTGTATCTGTTTAGCATTTTAAAGAAGATAACCAAAAAAATTTTCACCATGGAGCACTAACTGTAACTACAATTTTTATGCTTGTAATTTTTGCAAGCACAAAGCTTTAAAAGTTGAAAAGGGTGGCAAAATTTTTTCAAGTTTTAATCAACGTCCATCCTTGCCATTCATAGCTACAAACAATAGACCTTTGTCATGTGGCAGCCATTTTGTCCCAAGAGATTAAAAAAGCTTTGTATTTGCACAGGTAGCCTCCTTCTTACTGCCAGGCTAACTGTGCAAAAACAAAGCTTTTTAAATCTCCTGGGATAAAATGGCCGTTGTGTGACAAAGGTCTATAGCAAATGGTTTCAATGCCTAAAAAATAGTGTGGCATAGCCCCTTTAATCTTTCTGTTTTGAGAATCTCACTAGGAACATACGGTACTATAATGAGGTCTTTCGTAGAAAATTGCTCTCAAATTATTTGTGGCAGAAATCTTACTATTTTTGAATATCAGCAACAATAAACAACAAAAGAGAATAAGATAGTTGTAGAGTATGATTAAACCACAGTAAATTAATTTTAAGAAGGATACTGTAAAACCTAAGAATGAAATATTAGTAAATTACTATAAAAGTGTTCATATAAATTACAAAAAAAATGTAGATAAATTGTTTAACACTTTTTTCTATTGCTAGTCAGTCAAGCAATCAAAATAAATAAAAATTATAAACAAAACAGTAAGTTGCAAAGAAATTTCATTTTTGGAGTTGCTAGCCTGCACTTTTATCCTTTTAGAGTTATTATCAATATTATACAAGTCAATCTTGATTTTACTAGGAGCAGAAAGTGTACAAAATATGGTGATATATTTCATGCGATTTGGCCTGACAGATACAAAAAACCACACTAGCAGAGACAGTCTTTATTTTGAAATGAGGTCTACATCCTTAGCAATATTCAAAAAACATTCTATGTTGACTCTGACATGAAGTAACTTGCCAGTGTAAATAAAATAATTTACATACACAGTCAAGTTAGATTGTACTGTCAGCAATTATTGTTTAAATAAATATAATTCACGTTTTGTCAAAGACACAAAATGTTGGGTATCCATGATGGAAAGTTTACAAACGTCGTAACAATTAAACATCACTGGCTCTATCCACTCTTTGGGAAATAGTTTCTGTGAATGTTTACATGTATAGGTTGAAATGGCATGGCCACAGTTCTTAGCTAACTTCACTGTAGCCAAATGACTGACACTTGTGCTTTATAAATTTATGTCATCAACATTTCTTGTAATCGGTCTAGGTGGAGCAATTGGTTTACTTTCTGTATATCAGGGTGCAAAGAAAGTCGGTTTTACGGCTTCAAGCAGCCATTCAGGCATACAAGTTGTTGCTAGTATGTAATAGCCCACAAGTCTTTTAAGTAGCCCCTCAAAAAATTTAATGAGCAGCATTGATTACAGTTCTTCTGTAATTTGAATGTCCCAAAAAACTTCACTTGCCCAGCTGGCAAGTTAAGAACACAATTCACTAGCCCAATTGCAAAACCCACTAGCTCCGGGCTATCAGACACGTCTTTCTTTGCATGCTGGTATATGTACATGTTCATCCTTCCTCAAGATGCTCAAACTAATAATGGGTGGAGAACATTTAGCCAAAGATTCGTTTAGTGTCAGTGATGTGGATGCTTGTTCAAATGTTTGAGTTACACTGTAGGAAGATAAAATAATGTATGTTTACTTGTATACAGTTCCTCAGTTAATGCCCACTGTTTAAGATCCAATGACTTACAATATAGTCTACAAAAACTAACAACAAAATAAAAGCGAAAAAAGGTTATGCATTAATGTCCAGATGAACGTAGTCCTGAATGGGACTGTTGTTGTTGACAGTCACTAGCATTTCAACAATCTACAGTATTCACCTTCAGAGTCACTCAGAAGATGAATACTGCACAGGTTGTTGAAACATCAGTCACTGTCAACATTCAGGACTACATTTACCCAGACAATCATACTCAGCCTACTTATGAGTCATTTAATGACTCCTGGGTTCAAACCTTTCACAAAATAAGAGCAATAAGTCGACAATAGACATACTTTACAATCTGGTGGCCTATTAAATAAATTATGTATTCTTTTATTAGTATGATAACCATTTCTGACCTCGTTAACATGTGCAAAATAGAAAACAATTCTTACTTTTAAACGAGGTCAGAAAGCCTGAATATATCACACGTATAAAAAATATATATATATTAATAGGACACCCATGATTGTGAAAGAGGTATAAAGCTGGCCCATACATGTATGTATACTAATCAGATGTGTCAGAGATACACGCACACTCAGATGCAGAGGTACAAATTGCACACACTTTTTGTACAGTTGTTTTGAGCTGCATGCACTGTAGATATACATGTCTAGGTATCTAGTGCAACTGTGAAATTTGTATCAAGACAGTCTGTGGACCAAGAGCATTATCCTCTGGATAATGTTGTTGTTGTTGTCGCTCAAAAGTATAAACCATGAATGATGAGGCCTCAAGTATTTATGGGTAGCAAAGCAAATTCAAAGTTCTTTTGACAAAAGTTTACATTGTCACGAGATACTTGTGCGGATGCAAATACCTAAAGTACTTTCTGCAGGCATGCCGTTGTTGTTGTTGTTGTTTTTGTCTTCCAAGAAAGCTTTTTATGTCCTATCTTATGATTTTCAAATGTGTGTTTGTGATATGCCTATGGTCTTTAACTGTAGACATCTCTTATGTGTCCAGGACAGGTGAAGCTGTGAGCTTTTTGCCATGAGATCTGGAAACCGTTTGATATTTTTTGAATGCATTGTCACCAAAAGCTTCAATAAAGTAAACATTTCTGAAAAGAACTTGCAATGCTAATAAAGTTCTACCCATAAATCCATTAGGTCCCATCGTTCATGGTTTATACTTTTCAAGCAACAATGTTTTTTCAATCAGGCCCCAGTTGTTCAAAAGGTGGATAATTAATGTTAGTATATACACACTCAGTGATCTTGGTGATTTAAGCAATCTGATTGGTTCGCTATCTCGGACTATTCAACAATATTCACCTCCTAGCGAGTGGATAATGTGTGAGCTCGGTGTTTTTCCCGTTTTTTTTAGAGAACGATCTTTTAAAAGTCGACAAAATCCTAGGGCTGACTTTTTTTAAGGCAAGAAAAGACTTGGAAGGATTCAATACGGCGTTTTTCAATTTACTGTAGCAGGAGTTTTGTGCTCGATGGATTGTTTACAACTCCCGTGTATTCGCGTAGAAGAAGCCGTTTCGTGAACTCAGCGTTTTCTAAGAAGAAAATTTTGGCTCAAAAATCGAAGTTTATTTATGACAAACAAATTTAAAAGGAAATGTTTGCAGAAATTCTACATTTCAAGTAAACAGGAAAAAGAATGATACAGGAAGACGACCTCTTACCTCGATCAACTGAGCCGCCATTTTTGTCAGCACTTCATGTGAAGAACGACACAACATGCCCTTTTGGCTATAAACTTGGCGAGTCAACAGAAAACAACACAGCTCTACTTTTTTTCTCAGGTAAGGAAACAGTTCAAACTTTTAGCGATTCCATTGAAGCCATTACGCTGTTGTTTGCGAAATGAGTAAACTTGTGAATTGCCATGTTTGAAAATTCTGCAAAGATCTATTTTTAAACTTACGCGTGATTTGATCTGTCAATCAAATCCTACTTTTGAATGGTTTCCTTTCTGATTTTGTTGAGATCACTTCGTGTGTATATACTAAAACAATTATTCTTCTCAATCTCAGTGAATAGTGGCTTTGGGAATATTTACCTCGCCGCTTTCGCGGCTCGGTAAATATTTTGCCACTATTCACCTCGATTTCAAAGAATAATTGTTAACTATCCATTGGATAAATCTCTATCCACTGAATAGCGCAATTCATTTTCCTAACACTTATCCACTGGATAATGATTTATCCTGTGGATAGCGCTATCCATCTTTTGAACAACCGGGACCAGGTGTATACCAGAGCTGTCAACCCCCCACATCTTCAAATATTGAGAATTGATGAGATAAGGGATGATAAATGATGTCATAATGGCCATGGCACATGACATCATTTGTGAAAAAAACTGCACAAAAAAGATTTTGTTGGAATTGTAACATTTGACCTTATTGGCTTACTTCCCACCAACCACATTATTGCTTACATGTATATTACAATGGCATACCGGAGTTTGTGAGGAAATGTTTGATGTTAACAGTAAAATAGCTCAAACAAAGCATTAGTATTTGAAAAAATTCCACTGTCAGAAAGTCGATTCTACAAGAAATGGCAAACCATGGCGATTATCCATGAGATTTCAGACTCTAACCTGGAGACTGGGAGAAATGGTTCAAAATCTGGAGTCTCCCGGATTATCCGGGAGAGTTGACAGCCCTGTGTATACAGTCAAACCCCATTTTTTGGACACCTGCTTAATAAAGACACCTCATTATTACAGACAGTTTGCTTTGTCCCTGGGGAAAGAAAGTCCTTAAGTTACCCTTAAGTTACATTTTCTCTGAATTCAACCCAGTTGATATGGACACCCCTCAGTGCATGTGTTAACAGAGAAAATGTTTACAAATGTTAGAGTAGTGTGTACAACTGGCAGAGTAATGGATACAACTGATAGCATAGTGCATACAACCAACAGAAATAATGTTAAAATGAGAGTCTCTCTCTGGAACGCCAAATATCAAGAGGAGACGTATGAAAGAGCAGCAACAAATGATGCCAAATAAGGGATGAGAAATAAATGACAAGAAGACAATGATATTAAACAAGCGACAAAAATAATTTTAAAACAAACAGCGCACCACTGTATGGTTTCGCGTCCACAGTTTCGTTTGATTTAGGCCTTTTCTATTTTGCTATGTTTTCCATTTTGAGTGCATCGAAATCTAACAATACACAAACTGTCCGAACTGTGTCTCCAAACTTCCTCATGCAAATTAGAGGACATTGCAAGCTTAATAATGCAGCTGAATAATGGCAAATCTGCAAATCCGAAGCTCATTTGTCTTTCAAAACAATTCTAAGCCCCTACAATGCGATCGGTAAAAGGATTTAAGCTTATTTCACAGCAATTAAGCTTTGGATTTTTAGAAGACTTCACCTCACTCAAATGATTTGAGTGAGATGATGTCTCCTCAAATCCATCATGAAAAAAAAATTTAAAAACGGAATTTCATTAATTACAATACCTGTTCCTATAGTTTGTGTTTTCCAAGGATGTGTTATAAGCAGTTGTTGACATTTCGCCCAAGCTCTTCTTAGAATACTCATTACGGCTTGCCTTTATATATTTCTTTTTTTTTTAGCGCTGATTGAGCGCTATGATCCGCGGGAGATCGCCGCCGCCATGTTTTTTATTTCGGCAACCGAGCGGCCCTGGGAAGGAATTTGAATCGACTATTTTTTCGGTGGGGAGGAGCGGGAGGCGGGGGGAGGGGAGGGGATCACTTGATTTTTAGGAGAACAGAAGGGGGCAACATTCGTAATTGGGAACCCAAAAAAGAAATCATTGCAGAAGAATTAGAAGAATTGAGAAGGACGACTTACATTAGACTACGAGCAGTCTCTCTTTTTTTCTGTAGTCCGTCGAGCAAAACGCGAGACACGCAAATGGCCACGCGCGTGACTGATAGCGCGAGACGGGAGAGGCACGTATCGCGCGTCTCGCGGCTTCGCCGCTCCCGCGCGCGTGCATTGCTCTCACTAAATCTGAAGAAAAAGAGAGACTGCTCGCAGTCTAGACTCACATTTGTTGGACAATGCCAGTTTGAAAGCATATAAAGTAAATGCGTTCATTCTACTGGGAGGTAAAAGTGTTTGCAGTCTCAGTTTGTTCTAACCGCAACTTTATTTAGAAAGCACAAGTCTGTTACACTTTCGAAATAGTACATCTCAATTTATATGGAGAACGTTTTGTGGCACTTTAATATTTACTCTTTTATAACGTGCTTATACCTAAGCTAATATTTAACTAATTTGAACATAACAGGTGAATTCTGAATTGGAAACCATAACTTTATAGATAACTGAATCACATTGTGAAACAGCGTCGAGCATCGCTTCTTTAGCAACGGGCACACTAACTCAGCTCTATACTAAATCCGATTCAACCGCCGCTCGTCTGTCTTATCATGAGTGTTGTGAAAAAGGGAAGATGTTTGCCTGGAGAATATTAGGCTTTAATGACCAAATCTCTTACTAACACAAACATTGATATGGCGGCAAACTGTAACCACGAGGATTACAGGCTCATACAATAAAATGAAATCACACTACATATACAACACAACGAATTATAATGTAACGCGATACGTCAAACGACTCTCGCAGTGTTCAAGTGTTTCTAGTTTCTAGCTTTAGTTCGCAGTGTCATTTACACCACATTGAGTCTCATCATCCAGTATTTCTTTACTTGTGTCTGGAGCCTTATCATCCGATTAATTAAGTCCGGCCTTACGGCAGGTTGACCTAGCCTGCGTGGTAGGTGTTCCAAAGGGAAGGGGAAGGGAATCAGGCCGCGAGACCCCTTCCCCTTCCCCTTTTAACGCCTGCCACGCAGGCTACGGTTCCAGATTTTAAAATCATGGGTGGATTTAGGAGTGGGCACCCTTTCCCAGCTCTAAACACTAAATCCGCTTTAACCATTCTGGTAGTCGTATTCATCTTAGGATTTGAAGGTCTCTTTATTAGAGTTTATTGTATAGCCATAAAAAGTGTTACAAAGTCCTTATAGTTACAGCTTTCCACGAATACTGGACCACTCCCATCTTGACCCTCTTCGCACGCAAGTGGAAAAGTTTGATTCAGTTACGTTACCAAAAATTGTTAGATCATCAATTTATATTAATCCTCTGCTGAAATCCCAAACTTGACCACTTCCGGAATTCAAGTTTATTCATGCAATTTGAACTATTTTCTTGCACTTGATCAAATAAATCTACAAATATCTTTTCAAAGCTTTTGCTTTAAATATTTTATTCGTGCTTTGTTCACTATAAGTAAAATACAACAGGATGAAAAAACTCGCAAATCTCTGAGCCAGAACTGAGTGGAAAATGTTCGTGAGACATTTTGTGAGTCGTGGTGGTATTGTTCTGTAAAAACATATTTTATTTGTTACAAAAATTGTATGTTACATTGGTTAATTTTTGAATTTGAGTTAGAACATCAACACCTACTTTCTTTGATCTGGAATTACAAACAAGTGAAGATTTATGTGCCACAAATCTAAACCCGCCCATTAACAGATCTAGATCCAGACAGCAAGGTTTTGTAGCAGGTTATCCCTCCCTTAAACTAACCTGACTGCTGATCTGGCTTATGTAATACTTAAAAAAAATGACTACAGAGTCTATTTAAAAGGCAATTCAAGCGTGGATTAACGTGACCCCAATGCATCAAGTATATCAGAAAGGTCGTCCAAGATCATCCCATATCACTGATGATGGCTAAACCACCCATATGCATACAAAATGTAGGGAAAGCAAGCTAAATATAATACACAGTACCACAAAAGTCTTGTAATTCTGTGTCTCCCTTAGTCGGGAGACTATACGTAAATCTGTATGTGGCCGACTCTCTGACTGTGCAGCCTCTAGATTTCACCGTGCTGAGTGAAACAGCAGCGACCCCTGTAACACATATGGAAACAACAGAGACTTTGCACAAACTAAGTTACACTGTCTGCAATTGAATGCGAGTGTCGGCATGCAGAGAGTGAAAGCCAAAGTGTTCATTCAAGATCCCTTCAATTCAGTGCTGTTCACGGAAGATTCAGAGAGATACGTCGATGTGCGCAACATTGTTTGGGCGCTA